ATGACACTTTTCTCTGCATAAACTCAAGCCTGTAAACACAGAGAAGACAAGTTAAACATTAGAAGCAAGACATACGTGCACTTTCAAAAATAAAAGTTTGCGAGCTGGGGTGGTATCTTTTGAAAAGGTGCAAATGTGTACCTTAAAAGTCCATATTAATACCATAATGTACATATAAAAAGTACAAAAGTGTTCCTCTTAAAATGTTAAGGTACTAATGTATACTTTTGAGGTACCAATATGGACCCTTTAATTACAAATGTGTACCTTTTGCCAAGGTACCACCTAAGTGACAGCTTGCTTACCTTTATTTCTGAGAGTGTGCCGGTGTTTGAATTAACACTGTTGTCTCAATACCGAACATGCTGATGGGTTTGGTCTCCTAAAAAGTGATTATTAAATATATTGAATTTAGATTATAACAGAATATCACTCATATCACTTTATATATGAAGAGTTTAGATGCAAAAATGAATTTTTTATATATATATAAAATATATATAAATTTATTTTCATTTTTGCATCTAAACTCTTCATATTTAAAATAATACATTTAATATGGAATTTAGCTTAGAGAGGCTGAAAAAAAGAAGAATATATATATATATATATATATATATATATATATATATATATCGGAATGTACCTATTTTTGTAAATTTATAATTTATTGCATTAATATAAGAAAACACAATTAAGTATTTTAGTAAGCATTTATTATTTATATATCTGTGCGTGTGTGTGTGTGTGTGTGTGTGTGTGTGTGTGTATGTATGTATTTTCTGTTTAACGGAGAGCAGATTTTTTCAACACGTTTCTAAACATTTTAATAAGTCATTTCTAATAACTGATTTAGTTTATCTTTGCCATGATGACAGTAAATAATATTTGACTAAATATTTTAGAAGACACTTCTATACAGCTTATAGTGACAGTTAAAGGCATAACTGGTTTAATTAAGTTAACTAGGCAGGTTAGAGTAATTACGCAAGTTATTGTATAACGATGGTTTGTTCTGTAGATGGAAAAAAACATGTAGCTTAAAGGGGCTAATCATTTCGACCTAAAATGATCAGACAAACTTTACATAAACACAACAAAATTGCTAATAAAAATACAAACTAAAAGTAAAATGACAAAAAAAGCTGGAAAATTTAATATAATTCAAGATGATAAGAAAATAAAAGTAATATATAATAGTATTTTATTGATTTTAAAATAACAAAATACTGCCTCAGTTTATTTTTATTTTAAATGAATCAATTTATTTGTATTGTACAATATATATTTTTTATTGCATTTTATTTTGTATCATATACAGCAGATTAAATGAAACTAATGAGATCAGCATTATATCATGCAATAGAATGAATATATTAAAAACGAAACTCTCACAACAGACAAAGTAAGGGGATCCATTCGATTTTAATGATTTCTGGGTGCCTTCCAAAATAACTGGGGAACTTAAGTGTTCAATTTCTTTAGCAGGTGTTCTCTGTGTTTACCTTCTCTTATCTCATTTCGTTAGCGTAAAACCTACAGTATGGCTCAACATATGCACATCTTGCATTAGTCTTTCTGAATATATATGTAAATGTAACTGATGTATAGAATCGAACTATAAAAATGAAATCATCTTCTCTGTACAGTATGTCCTCACAGCAGCACAACTAAACCTGATCCACAACTGCAGGGCAAAGGCAGGCAGACTGCCGGGACTGACGGAGCTTTTTTATTTTTAAATTATAGTGACACAGCATATAGCAAAATCTACTGAACATCCCTGCCCTTATATAGCTGCTATACAGGATTAGATTAAGGATGGAAAGCCGACAAATAAGAAAGCATTTTTTAAAAAAATCTGTAAAATAAATTTTATGTCTGATTCATTTTCAGAATTACATCTATAAATATATCAATAATATAAAATAGATTGTTTTCTTGGTCTTCTGTCAAAGGGATAGAGAAGGTGAAGTGTAATGGAAATCTTTGAGAAGACAGTTCACTTCAGGATCCACTAGGGGGAGTCTTTATCAAAAACATATATCTATTAAAAAGTTTCATATTTATTTACATGACCAACATATTACATCTCCTTCAAACTACTTTTAAAGCTTGTTTGGGTGTTTTTTTATTATAATAAAACACATACAATTTAAACACAATTTATTTTATGTATAAATTTTGCATGTGCAAAAAGTATAAATCTTAAATATTAGAGCATACAATATTTGTTTTTTTTTGACCACTGGTAAGTTAGTGTCAGAGAAAATGTTCCTAAATCTGCATTCTCAGTCATGTCAAGCAAGTGGCTTTGCCTCAGCTGGCCTCTCTGTTCCAGATATCTGTAACATGGCTACCAGCCAATCTGCTGTACCAGTCTAATTTAAACTGTTCAGTAGTTCACACCTTGTGTCAGATCAGACCACCATCAGATAAGGGATATTATCAATAACTAAACTTTAAACCATTACAAGAAATGTTACTTGGTATAAAATAAACATTGGCTGTAATAAAATATACTAAAAAAAAAGAATAAATCAATAATAAATGTTTTATTTTTGTTTCATTCTAAAGTGAAGTACTACTACTGAAATAATTTATTTAAAAAAAGTAAGAAAAAATTAAATGATTAAAATAAGTCAGATTTATTAGCCCCCCTCTTTGAATTTTCTTTTCTTTAAAAAAAATAATAGTAAATGTTCAAATGTTCACATTATGTCTGATTATCCTTATTTTTTTCTGTAGAAAGTCTTATTTGTTTAATTTGTTTCTAGAATAAAATCAGCTTTTAATTTTGTAAAAAATATTTTAAGGTCAAAATTATTAGCCCCTTTGATATACAATTATTTGCCTAATTACCCTATTCTGCCTAGTTGATCTAGTTAAGCCTTTAACTGTCACTTTAAGCTGTATCATGAAAAATATCTAGTCAAATATTATGTACTGTCATCATGGAAAATATTAAAAAAATTCAGCTAATAGAAATTAGATATTAAAACTATTATGTTTAGAAGTGTGTTGAATAAATCTTCTCTCCGTTAAATAGAAAACTGGGGACAAAATAAACAGGAGGGCTAATAATTCTTTAACTGTAGATGCTCAAAAATCAATCAATAAAAATGTAAAAATCAAATGACAAGAATGAAAATGACTGACAAAAACAACAATGCTTTAATTAACTCAAGTTCAAGTTTACTACAAACTAAAAAAGAAAAATAAAACACAAAAATAATATATATATAAAATATATAAACATATATAAAAAATCTAAAATATTCAAAATAAATATGTAAATAACAAAACCTTAAATGCCTTAAAAATATCAAAACCCAATACCAAATACATTATAGTATTTCTTAAATATAATATGATTTTACATTATTATAAATAATTAGTAGTTTTTTTATGCAAGAAAATAAATTCAAAGGAATAACAAACTAAAAACACGATGACATGAATGTAATCACTCTAAAAATGCTAAATAAACTTAATCACTAAGTAAAAAAAAAAAAGTCACTTGTCAATTCATTCAGTGCTGGGTTTGTCCATATTTATCCAAAAAATAAAGAAAAAATTATAAATAAATAAATAAATGAATAAATAACTGGATAAATTAATAATAATGATACTAAAAATATATAAATAAATACAATAAATGAATAATAATACTAAAATAAATAAATAAATAAAATTGAAAATAAAAATAATAATAATAATACTATATATAAATAAATAAAATAAAATAAATGAATTAGTTGATTATTCAGGATCTTAAATAATTAAGGCGTTTGAATTTGCTTTGTACTGTATTGATTATGTTAGAGAAATTGTGTGTGTGTCAAAATTATTTATGTAAAATAATTTAGTTTTTCATAAAAAATTGGCAATTAAAAATTTCCATGCAGATTTTAAAAAATATAATTAAACCTAAATTTCACTGGTTGGTCTTTGAACCAATTTTTGTGCACATAAATCAAAGAGGCAACGTAAGGCAGCGTTTTAATTTAAGCAGGAGGTGGTAATGTATTTGTGTTTACAAATCCATCTTGAATTACTCACACTATTCAGACCGTCTGTACACCAGAGCTGCTGTACGAGGCACTTCCCGACTTTCCCAAAAAAGGCTACAACAGCCAAGGCTGACGTTTCATTTTTGTCCCCTACCCAGAATGCCGCGGGGCACCAGACGAATGGAGCTGCTGTTGTAGTGGGGCATGTAACTCTCAGCGCCACTGGCTCTGATTTGCATGCTCAGAATAAGCCCAAAGGCATCCAATTACACCGCTCTCATGGATTGTTTGGTGTCACTTATCATCTGTTTGAGGGATATGATGATTCTGCTCTTGGAGTGTAAAAGGATAGCGTGAGGTTCTGGGCCTCTTTTTTTTGTGAAGTGTTACCAGTCGATCGGTGGGAAGATCAGCACAAATTCACCTAAAATAGTGTCCCTCCTCCCTTTTTGGCAGTGTGCTAGGCTTCGGGACCCCTACAAGGTCTGTTGCCACAGTGTAGAGACTTCTTTCAGGATGAGCACATTCCTGTTGGTGATTTATGAAAAAATAAAGCCATGACAGAGAAGAGCTTTTCACTGACAGCGGAACATGAGCCGAGAGCTGAGTCTGGTGTTTTATTGTGTCACATTTCACAAAGACTTGTACTCAAATGTATTACACTTTAAAAGTTAAACTTAGGTTGTATTACACTTTGAATCTATCAAGTGATCACAATCTCTTATAAATCACAAAAGAAACATATATTAACCACTTGTTTAGAAGTAATACCTCATAAATCTGCTCCTATAGCGGCCTTCTCACTCTCGTTTTAATAGCTGTTGGGTCTTCAGTTTCAGAAGCTTGGAGGAAAACTATGATGAAGTGTATGAAATTCTCCATGAAGAAACGTGAAGCTCCGTGTACCTACTTGGAATGTGTGTGATGGAAGCACCAGCTGCATGTTCGCTCCTCCCCACGCTTGGCTTGATGGGACTGTGTGTGTGTGTGTGTGTGTGTGTTTCTGGTGCCTGCTGAGAACAATATCCTGATGCTGAATGAGTGTGTTGAAGGAAACTCCAGCATCAGTGATTTTGTTGCCAGAGGAGCACTTTGGGCATCCTGTGTATATGTGTGTGTGTTTATTCAGAGATTGAGATTCTCTAGTTTTGAAGCACAGACAATTAAAAAAGATTAAAGGTGCCATATAATGAAAATCTGAATATACCTAGGTATACAGCGCAGCAGGAAAGTATTCATAGCGCTTCACTTTTTCCACATTTTTTATTTTACAGTCTTATTCCAAAATAAATTATATTAATTTATTTTCTCAAAATTCTACACACAACACCCCATAATGACAATGTGAAAAATATATTTTTTTAATTGTTGCAAATTTATTTGCAACAATTGCACTGTAGCTGAATAATAAGAGTTCAGTATATGGCCATACCATGAGCCTCAAACGCAATCGTTTCCTCATTTTCATGTAGTGAGTGTAAATCCCTGGTCAAAAACTGACACATCAAAATAAAACACAAGACTGTTAAGTTGCACACGAGGCTATTAATTAGCACACCCTCAACATTTACTTTAGATCATGTTCTGGATCAGCTGGACCTGTGCGAGAAGCCAAGTCATCAGAAGTTTGGCAGCCAATCCAGAAGCTGTTACCTTATTAAAGTTTACCTACGTTTATATTAAATTTACAATGTACGTGGGACTCTTATTTTGAAAATTGGAGATGACGAGAGACCAATAATGATAGATTAAAGATAGCTGGAAAATAAACCTTTCTACCCCTTAAGTTAAAAAGATTAAGCTATCTACACAATCTGTTTAAATAAGGTTTTTGAAGTATTTTTAGTTTGCTTGTGTTTAATTCGGAGTACATCACACACTCTCTCTGTGAATTAATATTCACAACCTTTCCGAATATAGTCAATATGGAGCTTCAGATAGATAAATGAGCATATAAAAAAGAATATTTATTTTCTGGAGAAATGTTGAATATAACTAAGCCACATACTGTCAAACCCCAAAATAATTCATACCCCTGGCCTGGGTATGTGTGACATAAAACAATGTGTGGCTTAAGCAAGCTAATTGTACTCCACCACTGTTATGTGTTTCTTCTTGTTTGCCTTTCACACTTCCCTCAACAAATACTTGAATGACATTATCATTTCCAAAGATGCTTGTTTTCATCTGTTTACACAGACAGGCCCATGGCAGTGTGAAACTTGTTTTCAAATTAATGTGTTTTCAGTCCCAAAAACATCATCGTCAAGAACAAAAGTTTTCCAGATTTTGGCTGAAAATGTTGTCATGTAAATAGAATAGAATTTTTATAAATGGAGTTCTTCCCATTACATTTAAAGGAGTGGTCCACTACTGTGTAAACATAAACAACATCTCTGAATGTAATACGCTCAAAGACGTTACAAAAAATACATCTGGGTTAATGCGATCACAAACCCTTTTGATTCACCACACGCATACACCACATGTAGGGCCGTGGTCAGAGGCGCTGTAATGTTATATCAGAGAAAGCTAAAATGTCGTCCAAATGCTGCTATTTCCACAGAGCTTCTTCTGTTTCTGTATTTGGGCTTCCAAAGGACACGACACAAAGACACATAATTATGCTCCAGAGAATTATAAAAATATATAGCTAGCATTTGACAAAGTACAACTTCCAGAATCTCTATTAGTTCAGTGCTGGATTTGGCTAAAAACTCCTCAAAGAAGGAGCAGTTCCAACTATAATAGACGAAGCTGTGGATTGTGAGCCACAACCTGTAAATATTTTTAATTGTTAAAATTGATCTATGACATGTACAGTTTATAGCGTTAACAATATTTTCTAGCAAAAATGTAAACAAGGATGTAAACAATGGAAAATGCAGTTTGGCACCATTAACAATTTAGCTACAAATTTATATTTATCTGTTAAACCACTGTAAACACCCACAATTTTCAGCAGTGCTGCAGTTTCTCTCTATGCGGACGCATTCTATGTGTTCTATCTCAAATAACAAACTCACAAAAGATATGAGAACGTTTCATATTATTTGCACATGCCTATAACCCAAATATATATGAAAGACATTTGTCAGATTTTATTTTAGAGAGTAGGTCTGAGGTTTAGCTGTGTGCACTTCATTTTCTGCCTGATTTAGGCCCGAACTGATACGGCTGACAGCTACTCTGACTGACTGTTTACTCAGCACAAAAGTGCATGATTTTAGGGGTGTGACGCTTTTCCTGGTGACAGGGAGCCAATCCACAAATCACAGCACATTATGTTTGCTGATCAATCAGAGCCTCTTTAGAGCAGGTCTTTCAAAGGAACTAGAAAATATAAAGTTTTCACGTTAGCTGAGTAGCTGTATATAATTAAAGTAAAATATATGAAAAAAGAACCTGATTTTCTACAAATGAAGCATGGGCACAAATTGCTTTGCTTTACAAACACAACCAAGCCTTAAAAATACACTCTGGACCACCCCTTCCAAAAAACATCTCTATCCATCTTGAAAAAAACACAATGTGATGCACTGTCAAGGGCAATGCCGAATCAACAGGCAGTGATTAATACCTTATGCTTTATTCACACCAAATGCGAAAGCAAGTTAGGTACAAAGTCAATGCAAAAGCGGAACCATAGGTAAATTACTATCATTTGGCACAAACGGCACAGAATGGGCATGAGGTAATAAACATCCTGTGACTCTATGAGTAAAGGTCCTATTACACTAGAGTGTGATAATTTTTTAAAGCGTTTTTTGGTCACGCTTTGATTTTCTATTGATCTCATGCAATCACGTGATGATAATTTGCAGGTCAGAGTTCACCAAGATTGGTGCTCCATGTTTGGTGTAAACCCAGCAATAAGCTGCAGCTGACGCTGCACTTTTTGGCCCATTGACTTTTATACTCCATGCTGGAAACGCAAGCTTATGTAACAATTTTCGCACATTGATGCATTCCAGTTCAAACTTCAATATCTTGTTTTATCATCAAATCACTTTTATTGTCACATCATCAGCAGCGCGAGTGCTATCATAAGTGAAAAGCTTAGGTGCTGGCTCCAGACAGTACAAAATACAGACAGTGCAAAAACAACTGAAAAAAAAAAAAACAGGGCAATGTAAAATTGACAGCGATATGTACCAGGGGCGGACTGACCATCTGGCAATTCTGGCAAAAGCCAGAAGGGCTGGACCATTCTTTAAATGTGGGCCGGTCAGCTATTTTTTTAATTTTTTTTTTTTGTTATATGTATTGTTTTACATGTAGGCAGCTTTTATCTCTTTCAAGATATGAGTATTATGATGATGATGATGATGATGATGATAATGATGATGATGATGATACTAGTAATAATAATATTAAATGTTAAGCATTGGCCCAATGGACAATGATCGGCTGGTTTCTAGATGGGCTGACCCAATTAGAGGTTACGCAGATATAATCAAAATCTGGCAAGAATGTCAAATAAACAGTAAGTGCAACACAAGCTAATTGTCAGAGATGGACCATAAAAAAGAAAAAGTGGTGCCGAAAAGCTCAGAGAAAGCAAAAAAAAAAAAAGTATTTAAAATCAGACGCTGCCAAATGCATAAAATTAACTGAAATAGTGTCGAAAGGGCACAGCGCAGGGGCGCAAGAAGGTCGTTTTTTTAAGCTTCGGCTGAGTTAGTTGGTGTTTCTGTGTGGAGTTTGCATGTTCTCGTGGGTTTCCTCCTGGTTTCTCTGACAAGTCCAAGCACATGTGCTATAGTTGAATTAGGTAGACTTAATTGTTCGTAGTGCATGTAGATGAATGTGTGTGTGTGTGTGTGTGTAGGGGTTTCCCAGTAGGTTGCAGCTTAGAGGGCATCTGCTGTGTAAAACATATGCTGGTTAAGTTGGCGGTTCATTCCGCTGTGGCGATCCCAGATTAATAAAGGGACTAAGCCGACAAGAAAATGAATGAATGAAATGATTGCATGTATAAATTTGTTATAAATGAGTTGTTTTTGTCACATACATTAGATGTTTAAATATCTATTAAATATGGTAGTGCTTATATTATTTTACCATCTGTACACCATTGTAAGTAGTAAATGTGTGTGTCTGTGTATCGGGCTGTGTCGATGTGGTAATGTGGCTTCAGTGCCAGGGCTGATTTTTGGTCCCAGTCCGCCCCTGATATGTACAATGAATAGGTGTCCACATAGTTATAGGGCCTGCTCCTTTTTGTAACATTTGTACAACAGATATTTGCATGCTCAAAATCTAGTATGACCACGGCTTAAGTATAAAGCTCTGTGGGCCAATAAGAAAGAATATTGACGTCATGAGGCAAAAACTCACTTTAGTGGCCACACAACCACAATGTAACAAGAGTTTCTGAAAAAAGTAAACCACATTTTTTAAAATGCTCATGTTTGTGTATACAAGACCTTATGGTCTTACAGTGACGTTAGGTCACTATAAAAAACAACAATAAAATATAGAACAATTCCTGAATATAATGTGCTTGTCAATCTTTAGTCCCAAATAATAAAGCCCCACTAAAGATCAGGGCTCTCACAAAAGGCTTTTTGACTTTTTTGAAGAGCCATTTGGATGTACAGTATATCTCAAAATGCCTTTCTAAAAATGCATACTGTATTACTATAAATTACTAAAAAAAATATATATTACAACTTATTTCTTTATTATATATAAATAATAAACAAAACCTTAAATTATGGCCATGCACAACTCAAAAATAAAGCATTATATGTTAAGCAAGTCCATGAATGAAGAAAGAACTATTTATATATATATTTTTTGGCCTTCATCACTCATGAATGTTGTTTGAATTAAAGTTACCATAAGGAAAGCAAGCTGTTTGCCCTTAATTGGTGTCACAATCCAAGTCCACATTGTTACAAACGCACATTGGTCAAAACATCCTTTTATTGTTAACTGAGTTCCTATTCATTGTGCTGTATAAAGTTTTAATTAAAAAGGAAATTGTATGTGTATTTTCGATAAGAAACTGATTTTAGTGATGGTTATAATTTTTTAAACTGTAAAATAATATTGAAAGAAGACAGCTGGAGAGCCACGTATTTTTGGTCAAACAGCCACATGTGG